CTTCCTGTCCCAGCCTGGGGACCGTGAAGCCCCCAGAAACCTAGAAGCCTCCAGTCTTCCATGACGCTGGTAGCGACCTCCCCTTGGTCAGCAGGAACTCACACCCCACCTCTTAACCATCTCTATCCCCCTCCCACTGGCAAACGATTTCATGTTACAAGCACTCCTTGGGCCTGTCCACGTGTCCTGCCATCCTTTTGCATTTGCCATGCAGCCCAGCTCTTAGCCCTGCTCTCCCAATAAGGAGAAGGCAGCCCCTGGGCAGCACCGAGGGCGGGGGCAGACACCGATGCCTCACTTCCTCAAAACTCTGTAAAGATGACGTACATACAGAAGAAAACTTATGCGAGCAAGAACAATATTTAAAACAAACGCCTGTGGATTCCACCACCTATTTTAAGAAATAGTCAGCTGCTCTTTCAAACTCTGGATGGAGGCAGTTTCAAACTCCAAGGAGAGGCTCGCCCAACCCCCTCTGCGTGCTGCTTTTGCCTCCCTGGGTCAACAGGCCCCCATCACCTCTCCTGCCCTCTCCACCCTGGACTCTGGGGCTATTTTGGGTGTGTACCAGTCGGGGTTAATCTCCTTAAGCGATGAGCTGTGCTGCCCAGTGCACTCCTGACGCAGCCCGGCCCTCTGCAAAGGGCATTCGGAGGGTTGGTGCTGCTGGCCTCAGGCCTTCCCCAAGAGATGCCACGGACACTGAGCCGAGAACGAGAACTGGTGGGGGTGGGGCGAGCTAGCACTGCAGTGGGAGGGGGCTGCCGGGGCTGTGCAGGCAGCGGAGGGGAAGGTCAGGAGGCTCAGGCCTCATGGCCGCTGGCTAGTGAGGTGCTTCAGGTTTGCTTCTCAAGTTTAGCTCTAGGGAGAACCTCCCTCCACCCCAGCTCAGCTGCCCCCGCACCTGGCTGGGTACAGGTGCTAATCCCCAGCCCCTGGTAACACCAGGGAGAAGGAAGGGGGAGGCAGGCTGGAGATTTTCTTTCCCACTTGGGAAGGAAAGAGAACGCATGAGTTGACCCGCTGGGATCTGGTTCCTGAAACCTGAGCCCAGGACACGAGTTTCACTGAACTGCTGGCTACACGCTTGCCCAGGGGCTTTGTCTTCCACCTGGGCTGAAGGTGAGTTGCCAGAGGACCGGGCGGAATGATACTGGCTGAGAGGTCTGGCCCTTTAAAGGGAGGGAGAGAAGCCGGGGTCAGTCCTTCCAGGCTCTACCTCTGGCTTCACCTTAACCACCTGCTAACATTCATTCAACAAACAGAGGCTGGGGCCTACTGTGTGCTTGTGTGCTGGGCCCTGTGTTAGCATTTGCCCTCCGGAATCACATGCGCTGGTAATGGAGACGGCCAAGAAAGCAGATAATTCCAAAACAGCCATGTCCCGAGGCGGGTGGAACAGAGTGGTATTGGATTAGAGGCTCAGACAAGGTGCCTGGGGGGAGGGACAGGGAAGACTACAGACTGCCTGCAGGAGTGTCGCCCCAGACAGGGAGGGACAAACAGGAGTTGACCTGGAGGTGATGGGGCATATTTATGAAAGAGGTGGTAAACAATCCAGAAGACCCCTGGAATATTCCACCCGCTGAGGGAGAAGCAGCCCAAGGTCCCTTCCGCAGTCCAGACCCACTTAGCATGTAGCCAGAGCATGACTGTGGGGGCTCTCTCCCCAGGAAAAGCCAGAGCTTACGACCCACACTGGGCCTGCCTCCCACTCTTGGTTTCTATTTTTTTTCATTTATTATGAAACATTTTAAACATATATACAAAAGAAAACAATATAATGAACACCCATGTAGACTCATCACTTAGCTTCCAAAATTATCAGCTGGTGGCCAATCTTGTTTCATCTATATTCCCACCCAGATCATTTTAAAGCAAATTCCCAAATCCAATCAACTCTTCCCATAAATATTTCAATATTTATGTCTAAAAGATAAGGATGCTTTAAAAAGTATATCCACAACACCATGATCACACCTAAAAGGAATTAACAAAAATTCCTTAACACCATTCAATATCTCATCAAGATTAACTTTCTGTAATCCACCCTTGCTTTTAATAGTTGTGTTCCTGCTCGCAGGGGCGGGGAGATGAGCATTCGGTCGGACTGTATTACAGCTGCTGCTCCCATGACAACGCGTGAGTTTGGGACACGGCTCTGCAACACTCTGGTGGTCCATGTGCCTGTGTTTTGCGACCTCATTAGATTATAAATTCTTCAGGGCAGGGACTAGCATTACTAGTGTGGCGGAGAGGAGGAAGCACAGATCTCAAAGTCAGGCAGACCACTTATTAGCTGTGTGATCCTGAGACACTTATTCAACCTCTCTGAGATAATGGGAATAGAAATATCTATCTCCCAAGAATTGTCAGGCTTAAACAAAAGAAAGGGTGAACGTGGTTGGCATGTAGAAGGTTCTTAGTAAATGTTCATCTTGCCGCTCTTTCTCAAGTCAAGAGAAACAGGCTCATGGTTACTCCCTGTTTTGACAACTGTCTAGTTCCTCGCCTGGAGTGAGGGCCGCTGTTAGTGAGGGCTACAGTCAGCGCAGCAGAGGGGGCCCCACCCACCCTTCTGCGTCCGTCCGCGGTGTCGGGACCCCCACCCTGAGCACCCAGGCTTTGCTTGTTTACTCGGGCCACTCGCTGAACCAACAGGCATGACTCGTGCAGCCCTCAGGGGACGGAGGGAAGGGAGGGGCTTGGCAGGGGTAGGGATTTGCTTTTGGCTGGCTTCGCCAATTTCTGGGTTCCTCGACCCAAAGGAATTAACTTCATAGCTGCCCTTTATAGAGTGTTTATTACATGCCGAGCTCTGTGCTACGTGCTTTATCTTGTTACCCCTTTTCGTTTTCACAGCAGCACGATGAGATGGGTACTGTCATCCCCATTTTGTAGATGAAGAAACTGAGTCTTAGCACTCAAACCAGTTTTCTCTGATACCGAAATCCAAGTTCATTACTGCACGCTCACTACTTCACTAATGGTGCTAAAGAGGCCACTTTCTAGGGTTCACTCCCATTCACCCAGATTTACAAAGATCACTTCTGCCTGCAGCTCAGTAAGCGCCCCGAAGTCCAGCCAGCCGTTATGCGGACGAGGTGGAGCCGGTGGGTGGGAACCGCCCGCCTCTGTGAGGGAAAATGGCCCTAAAGGCTCCTCCACGAGCAGGGCTCTGTCTGCAGAGAGAGGCATGGGCCTGGCAGGGCGGGGAGAGCAGGCAGGGGAGCCAAGGCTTGCCACGGAATTCACCAGCTAAGGAAAAAGGCTACGAGCATGAACTTTCCAGGAACGTGAGAATTCCTCACACTGTGGCCTGAACATCTTGCTAGTGATGAAGAGTGTTCTATTTGACTTCAGCCTCAGGAGTAGCTTTCTGAGCACCAGAAGCAGCCACTGGGCGTGAGGCAGTGATGAGCACAGGGCCTGGGGACTGGGAGTGAGGGACAAGCACAGCCAAAGGTTTGCAGGGGTGCCAAGGCTCTGGCTGTGTGCCGTTTCTCTCTGTGTGCCCCCTGATAGCTGCCCTGAGGACCAGGCCTTCACAGTAAGCGCTGTCGTCTTTTCCATAAACGTTTTCGTATTTATTCATCACGATCACAGTCACATCGGGGCAACCACCTTGTGCACAGGACATAAATTCCCAAGCCTCCTGGCTTCCCGAACTCTCCCCACTTCTTGGCAAAGCCTTAACCACAGGCCCCGGCGGGCGGGGAGTGGGGGAGAGATTCAGGGCAGGCAGCTCCAGCTCCTCCCCTCCCTTTGCCTTGCCCTTCTTCCTCCTCCCTACTTGCCCATCCCTGCGCTCAAGGAGTCAGGGCTGTGTCCACCAACATGCTCGGGGACTAGCAGTCAACATAGTTTCATACCCAGCCAGACAGTCCACAGAAGTTTCAGATAATATTCCCTCCATCAGTTCCTCCGTGAAAATGAGCATGTCATTTGAAGCTCTGAGCCTCAGTTTCCATAGAAGTAAAACAAAAACAAGAATTGAGACTGAACTTTCTCTTGCAATAATTTACAAGCAACAGATAATGTACAAGAGATGTGGCTGAGCAGAAGAGAACTAGTGCAAATAATCAGAAGAACAGTTTTCCCCACTAAACACTCTTTCCTAGGGGCAAAGGGAGCCTGGAAAGTCATTCTCAATTGCGGACCAGTCTAGTTTATCCAAAGAAAACTCACATATGAACACAATGGCGAAAAGAAAAATTCCTCCACGCCAGCCCTGAAAGCGAGTTATGCTTTAGCCCATCCTAAATGTGGGCAGTGGCTTCCATAAACATCTCTCCTCTTCCCTCCTCTGTCCCCTTCCGGTGAAATATCTTCATCCCCCAGCAAAATGGCCTTGTTAGCTCATAAAAGGGAGAGTGCAAAAAACAAACAAACATCTTCCCTGGGAATAAAATTGAAGCTATCACACTTTGAAGACACATTTCCCAGCCCACAGGCCCCTGGCCCTGTCTCCATTTGCTTTGGGAAGCCCACCTGCCCCTGACCCTCCTCAAATGGTCCATGTGCCACAAGAGACCCATAGAGACGGGGCTTAGAAATGAGTCTTTCTCCCACATGGAGGGTTTAGCTTTCTCTTTTTGGGTGTCTGGCAGGAGACTGCAAGTATAATTCTGTCCTTTTGCCCCTCCTCATATATGGGCTGGGATGAGTGTTGAAGAAAAAGAAAGGTATTGAGGGACCAGGATGGAGTCAACTTGACAATGAACTGTTCAAGGACACCTTCCAGCTCCCATTCTACCAACAGGCCTATTTGATTTGGTGGGATGGTGTGTTCCTCCAACATATCCACCTGCCGCTTATAAAACAGAAGTTAGGGGTAAGAGAGTCACACTGCTAGTTCGATGTAGAATAATCAGTTCTGCAGCATTAAATCCTTTGCCAACAAGAACTTTTCTTCTAAGGAAAGAAGCATCCTAGTCACAGAGTCAGCGTCTCCAGCCCTCCCTCCCTCCCTCCTTCCCTCCAGGGTTGTGCTCACTCACATCCATGGACATCTCCCTCTGGATAAGTTTCTTGGTCTCCTTTTCGCAGAAGTTGAGCATGGCTTCCCGGTTGTACGTGCCCGTGGACTGTTTCTCCGTCTGGTTTCTCTGCCGCAGCCCCACGGGAACAGTCCCATCTGGGTCCACCACATCCAGCTCCTTCTCCAGCTCCTCCATCTCCTCGGGAGACAGGGTGGACAGCAGGCTGTCGATGTCGGGGTCTTCACTCACCTGCCGGCGGTACTTGGCTACCCTGGACATCTTGGCAAAGTGGGCTAAGGCTCTTGCCAGAGGCTATGGGAGTCCTGGGGGGCAGGGAAGGGAGAGGGTGAGCTGATCTGGACGGAGCAGAGTGGGCTTGGGAGCAGACCCCCAGCTGGTGGAGGGCTGCAGCTCCTCGGCCTGCTGTGCTACAGGTGCTGAAGTGTTAACTGCTCGCAGCAGCCTCCCTGCAGCCCAGGGCTAGTGGACCCTGGCTGCTCTAACCAGTGGCCAATAAGACGCGACAACTGCCCAGCCCCGAAAGGAGAAGCCAATACCCGAGCTGGGGGCGGGTCTGCCTCGCTGTCAGAGCTGTTTGAAACTTGAGGACATTCCAGGGAATCTTGGAGCGCTGCGTGACCAAATTTAGTACAGAGCAGTTTAGCCTTTTAAAGACAAGGGGCCACGCAATGAGAAAAAGATACAAAAATGCAGAGGCTGGCAGAGCAGATCACAGCCACGGAGAGCCAGACAAGCAGGAACGAGGCCATGGGGCTTTGTGAACTGGCCAGCACGAGGCATGTTCAAGCACATATTTTACTTCTCCATCACCGGGTGGATGTCGCTGTGGTCAGTGTGTGGTTCTTTGACTTCTTTCTACTGTATTTGGTAATGTGCTGGGGGGCTCCCAGGCATTTATGGCCCCAGGAAAGATGCTCAAGATGAGTGGCCAATGCCCCTAACCACCTCCCTACCCATTCTCTTCTTCCAAGGACAACCTGAATGCTGGGCACCCAACACTCTAGCCTCCTTTGGCCACTTTGAGAGAGAGACAGAGAGAGAGAGAGAGAGAGAGAGAGGAGAGAGAGAGAGACAATCCTTCTCACTCTGTACCAAAACTGAAAACTGGCAGGCTGTTTGGGGAAGAGTAGGATCTGCAGAAATCGGGAAACTCTTAAAGGGCTGTCACTTTCCATGAAGCTCCAAGGCTCTTGGGAAAAGGGTTCAAACCTCCTCCAGTTCTCAAATGCTTCTTCCTCTCCCGGGGCATCTGTAGACAGACCTCCTTTGGGAGCACAGAGGAGGAGCTGGCAGGTTGCCACCCACGTATAAATCCAGAGCACGATTTAGCGTGTCTTCAGGGAAACAGAATGCTGGGCTGTTGGGAGAGATACTATTGCAACAGGTCTGGCGTGTTTCATAGAACGGCTTTCCACTGCTCATCCATCATGCTGCCCTGCACAAGTCACAGAGACATTCAATCTCCTGCCCCCCTCCCTCCTGCCACAAAATCCCTTCTAGAAGCCCTGGTGTAACCCATCAGGGTAGATGCTTCGATCTTTCCTGGCATCTTTCCATCCTAAGCCAGAGAGAGACGGTCACTTGATCAGCATTCGCTGAGTCCAGGGATCGTCTGGGACTAAAACTTGGCCGTGGCATTTAACGTCCACTAGCTCAGCTTTAGGTTGAGGCTGGGGAGAGGAATGGTGCTCGCTGGTGGGACTAGAGGACAGAAGTGAGGCAGGCAGAGCTAAGAGGGGAGAGTGGAGGAAGGGCTCCAGGAAGCCTGGGGGCTGTCATGTTAACAGTCAGTAGTCAAGCTGGTGGTCACACAGTAGGTACACATTAATATTTACTGATTGCCTATTATATGTCAGACATTGTTCTAAGAACAAGGGATGTAACTAAAGATACAAAATCAGTGTGGTCCCTGGCTTTTTGGACTTACATTCTAACAGTGAAGATATAATAGTTATTAAACAAATAATTTTAAATAATCCATTAAATAGCTAAAAGTTGGAGAAATGTCTCAAAAGAGAAGTACAGGGGCTATGGGAAAAACACGGCAGGGGAGGCTGGACAGCAGTGTGGTTTCACAGTTAAGAGCTTGGGCCCTTGAGGCCAATGGACCTGTGCTAGGTCCTGGTATTGCCACTTACCAGCCATGCGACTTTGGGCAAGCCACCTTCTTCTCGGAGACTTGGCTTCACCATCTGTAAAATAAGGACAACGGTTGTGCCTACCACGCAAGATTGCTGTGAACACGAAATTAGGTCATACACATGAAAACACTTAGTCGATACACCTGATTCATGGTAAACACAGTATTTATCAGTAAATACATACTATTATAATTATTTACTCTTGTCCTATGTTCTTTTCACCCCATCCCACCTCTTCTCTCACCTTTTCCTCTCTTTCCTTCAACAGTAACCACCCTCAATACACACACACACACACACACACACACACACACACACACTTATCTTCTCACTGGGCTCTCACTTCATTCATTCATTCAAGCATTTATTCGGATACTATTTTGTATATGTAGCACCCTGCCAGGCACTATGAGGAGAGGGATACAAAAATAATCATGACATTGTTCCTTTGTTATTCTCTTTAAAATGTATACTTTAATGGGATAAAAAATAATTAGAATGTAAGGAAAGTAAAGCAAGCTAGAGAGGCGAAGGAACTGTTAAGAGCGCAGCTGAATACACATTAACTTTGTAGGGAGCCAGAGTCAGGGCGCGATAACAGAGGACTTGAGCTAGACCGCCATGGGCTTTCCGTTAGATTGTTGGGTGGACACGGCACGCCTTGCACCCACCCCCTGCCCCCACGCCCACTCAGGTCAGTCACTCTTTACTCTCGTGGTGCCTAGAAAAGGCATCATCTTCTGGGGGCCCTGGCTCTGGGGCCAACTCAGCCACTCTCTAGTCCCCCAGTCAGCTAAAAGCAGCTCCCTTCCCAGCTTCCAAGGATTCTTCTTTCTCAGGATTTTTGTAAAAATAGTCACTGCACCCCATGGAGGAATCAGAGCCTGAATGCAAATAACTACCTTCAGCCCCAGGGTCAGCCCCTGGACCATCTGGTTTCAGCGGCCTGCTCGTCTGGGCCCATCCTCAAAAATTAAATCCACAGCTTCCAAATTTAAATGGCAGGACTCACGGCCTCCTAACCAAAGGTTTCTACACATAAAACCCCGTATCTTTTCTGCCTCAGGTCCCACAATTCCAAACAGCTGGCTCTTCTGACAAGCCTTGGACTCCATCGGAATCCTTTTACTCCCTAGAGCCCCAGGGAGACTGCTCACAGCTCTGAAAGTCTTCCCTTGCAAGGTATCACAGCTGGGGCTGGAGGATTTGGGAGCACAGAGCCCAGGAAATACAGCCACCTCCAGCCCCTGCAACAGGAGGCCGCCGCCCCACCCACTCCGTAGGGGGAATGGCTGTCCAAGCTCAGAATCCACTTCCACGTGAAACAACTTCATCCTGGGTATCAGGCAACTCTGGCTCGGCCTGTTCCTCAGAGGAAAAGAAGCACTGTTGTGACTAGAGGGACGGAGAGAGAAAAGAAGGAAGAGACCCCAAGCTCCAGTGGAAATGCATGGGGGTGGCAGGGGAGAATAAGGATCTGGAACCAATGTAACTAATGCCTAAGTGGCTCTCAGCTGGGCTGAATGGCCCCAGGAAAGTCACATTTTCAGGAATATAGGGTGGCAGTATAGTATAGCAGATAAGACTACAGGCTCTGGAGTCAAATGACATGGGCTCGAATCTAAGATGTGCGACCTTGGGTAAGTTATTTAACTTCTCCGAGCCTTAGGAAATGGAAAATGAGGATATTAAAATATCTACAAGCTGGACCCAATGGTGCGTACTTGTAGTCCCAGCTACCTGAGAGGCTAAGGCAGGAATATTGTTTGAGCCCAGGAATTCGAGTCCTATCTGGACAAAATAGTGAGACACTGAAACTAAAAAAAAAAAAAAAAGCATCTACCTAGAAACAAAAATGCCTAACTCACAGAGTTATAGAACTAAGTATATCAAATAAGATAATGTGTACAAAGCGCTAACAGCATCAGACACATTGTAAGCACTCAATAATGCTTGCTTAAATATAATAATTTAACTAGCTAAATTATTATATTTAAAGATCAATAGAGGTTCTGCCATAGGCAGGGGCCAGAGTATGTGACACCACAAAAGAGACAAATTTTCACACTGGTTCTCTTCTTTTGGGGGATGCAGAAAGTTTCCCTAGAAGAAAGCAGCAGGCTTTGTCTCTGGAAGCAAGCCACTGGCCCAGCACTCCTGAGATGAGCAGAAGTGGGCAGAGGAGAGCTCGAGACAGAACACAGGCCAGACAAATGTGTTCCTGAGAAAAGAGCAGGAGGAGAGAAAGGGGGGCAGAAAATGGACAAGAGATTATCTGCCTCACCTCCACTCTGGCCAGGCTGAAACCCACCAAATCAGACCCAGTCACAGACTAGAACCTCAAACCCAATAGGAGGCTGCGATGCAATCCTTAGTCATCCATGCCAGTCTGAGTTTCGTGGTGACTTGGACCAGGCAGGACTGGGGGTTTGGAGCCACATACATGGCCTGTGATTTCCTGGTGGTTGGACCTCTTGAGGCCCCAGCAGCCTCTGGCTCAATGAAACTCAAGCTACTGAGGTCCGGGAACCTCTGAGTTAGCATATACTGAGACCCGGGAGGGGCAGATTCCGAAAATGTCCATTCCTATGTGTACCTGGACCGCAAGGGGTTCCAGCAGCAGTCCCATACTGGGCCCAGAACATTAACTTCAAATATAATGTACCCTGGTGCGTTGACTCGCCAGTTCAAACTCCCCTCACTTTTATGGTGAGTTTTCTCTCGAGGACTTGCACTGCTTCCTCCTATCCTGCCTTTGTGTCATGGACCATTCCTCCAGGGAGGGCCACCACAGTCCCCTAGACTTCTTTGAGACTCACTAGGGAGAAATTAGAGTACTGATCTCTTTTCTTTGAACCCTTTTTAAAAGTTTCTTCACTCAGCACCCTGGAACCAAATGGAAGTGGGTATTTTTGAGGAGGGGTGACATCTTTCTCCTCTAGCCAACAAAGATTAAATCCTGGGCCTCGCCCATTCAAAACTATCCTGTTATCTTTTTGCAGTTAAAAGAGAGCAGAGAGTGAGAAGTCTAAGAATGCTTGTGGCCCCTTGAGCAAAGGCTCTCAGAACAGTAAACTTCGAGATAGGGACCCCTGGAATGAAATGAGCTGAGTAGCCACACCCAAATTTTGGACTTCAGCTTTGTAAACTCTGAAACTCAATATCATCACTGTGATGGTTAATTTTATGTGTCAACTTGAGTAGGCCATCGGGTGCCCAGATTAAACATTGTTTCTTTGTATGTCTGGGAGGGTGTTTCCAGATGAGAATAGCATTTGAACTGGTGGACTCAGTAAAGTAGATTTCCCTCCCCAATGTGGGTGGGCATCATCCAATCCATTGAGGGCCTGAATGAAAGAGCAAAAGGCAGAAGAAGGAGGAATTCGTCCCTCTTTTCCTGCCTCACTGATGAGCTGGGATATTTCATCTCATCTTCTCCTGTCCTAGAACTGGGATTTGCATCATCGGCTCCCCTGGTTCTCGGGCTTCTGGACTTGGACTGAATTATACCACTGGCTTTCCTGGGTGTCCAGCTTGCAGACACAGATCATGGGACTTCTCAACCTCCATAATCACGTGAGACAGTTCCTCATAATAAATTTCCTTATATACATACGACCTATTGGTTCTGTTTTTTTTGGAGAACCCCGACTATTCTTGGTGACTGAGTCAAAAGAACTGGCCTCACAAGAGGCAGATGCATAAACCAGTGTTGAGTACCAAGTGGACAAGAATAGTTATGAGAATAGGTCAGGGCATTCTCTCCTGTAAGGAGATCTATTTAGAAGCCAAATAATAATTAGAAGACTGCATAATAAATGTGGAATAAGAGCAAAGGGAAGCAGCTAGAGCTAAGGGCTATTTCATCTGGGTCCTGGTGAAACCTTGCCTTATGAGAGTGTAAATCTCTAGTTACTGAAATATTTATGTCCACTAGGTCTGGGGTGCTGACTAAACATCAGGTTCTTGCTCTCTGAGTTCCTCCTTTGAGGCTTCATGTTGCTCCTCTCCCACATTCTCTCTTCAGCTTGTACAGTTAATTAAAGTGTTCTTAATTACAGCTACATTCCAAACAGGCCTTCTCAAACTTATTCATCCAAATCAGATGACTAGTTTGAACTGTTCTCACATACAAGACATATTTACTGATAATCTTTGTTCTATGGAGGGTTCAATTCATCCGTTTACCTCATTTCCAGGCTTTTGGAGGGAACTTCACTCTTCTTTGTAGTCTTCTGTTACTTATTACACTGACTTTTCCATAAAATAAATATGTACATTTTAAAAATTTATTTTTCTTAGAGACAGTGTCTGGCTCTGTCCTGCAGGCTGGAGTGCAGTAGCACCATCATAGCTCAAACTCCTGGGCTCAGGCGATTCTACAGGCGCATGCCACCAGCCCAGCTAATTTTTTTTTTTTTTTTTTTTTAATGCTTTGTAGAGATGGGGTTTCTCAGCTATGTTGCTGACGCTGGTCTAGAACTCCTGGACTCAAGCAATCCTCCCGCCTCAGCCTCTCAAAGTGCTGGGATTACAGGCGTGAGCCACCGCACCCGAGCTGTGTTACAAAGTCGATTGGAAAAGTACAGAATGGAGAGGAGCACCTTTAACAGCCATCATATGATTGAGGTTTTTTTTTTGGTTTGGTATTTTTTTGTACTTTGTCCCCGCCCCTTTAGTCTCCTCCTCTCGGGGCTGAACATCCCTCACTCCCGGTGATCCTGGCGTCTATGTCCCGCAAATTGAGGGCTCCAAATTGGTCACGGCACTACAGATGGCCCAAATAGTTCCATTTCACAAACACTTATTGAGCATCTACTACATTCCAGGCACTGTGATTATTATAAAGGACTGAGACATCGTCCGCCCTAAAGGAGCTACGTGTAGTTGGTAAGATGTTCACAATCCATGACGAATAGGTAGCATTAATTCACAGTTGACAGCAAAAGTACTAAAAAAAAGAAACGTATTTAGGAAGTTTGAAGAATCCTAGCGGAATAATATCAGGTTTATCCCAGGCCACCGGGGTAAGGAACTCTTTGTCATTCACGGCTTCCGGTATACACAGCCTAGACTCGCGGCCTTCGAGGAGGTGGGCGGTGCTAGCCCCGCCAGGGGCCAGCGCCCCGCCCACAGCTGCCGTGGAGTGCCGGCTCCCATTGGCTGCGGGGGGAAACGATGATCCAATCCCCGTAGACCTCAGCGCCCTCCTCTCAGGATCACTTCCGCTGCTGGGGTCAGGCTCCGCCCAGCTTGCCCGGCATCACTTGCGCCGCTGGAATCAAGATGGAGGAGTATGCTCGAGAGCCTTGGTGAGTTTCATCCGCTGTCTTCTGTCCACGGCCCTCGTTCTGCCCTGTCTGGTCTCCCGAGGTGCAAGCCATACTCAGCCGCAGGCGCGTCACCCTGGGCCTGGTAACCGTGGGCAGTGCAGACTTGAGCATCCAGTCGGCTTCTCAGCCCTGTACCCCACCCCGTCCACTGGGCCTCGTGAGCCTCGCCGCCCACAACCCAGCGGCCCTGTGACCTTATGGTGGATGAGGAGGAGGTTCAGGCTTGGGTTTAATGGAGCCTCGGAACCTTCTCCCAACGCAGGGCACAGTTGGCCTTGTGCAGGGTCCGTTGTCTTCTCTGCCCGCTGAGGTGACCTTGGACGCGTTTCTGCGCCTCGCCTTGCTCAGTTCCTGTGTTGAGGAAAGGAAGATAGGCCTCTGAGGGATTGCTGTTCTTGAGGCCTGCCTTGTACCATGATACGTGTACGCAGGATGAAGCATTTCAAATGAGTGGAACATAGATTTTACCCAAGGGGGTTAGATAAACTCCGTTAGGCTGGAGTCTTGTTTTCTTGCTTGGAATTATCCCTTGGAGGGGAGAGAGGGGCAAAAGTTATCTGTAATATAGGAAGAAATAGTAACTTATGTTCTCGGAAAAGCCATTAGCAGAAATTTATTCTTTCATTCAGCATTTATTGAGTGAGGGCTCTGTGTTAGCAGGTGGTTAGGTTCAAGGAATAAAAGCATGAATAAATTAGGCACATAGATAATTATAAAACGGTGTAATTGCTATCAGAGAGTAGTCCCAGGTTGTCTAAGTTTAAAGTTTCTGGGGTCATAAGTGAAAAATCAAATTTGGGCTAATCACTTCTTTTTTTTATTATATAAGAGCAAGAACCAAGGTGTGCTCAAGTTGTGAAAATGCCCAAGACTCTGAATTATCATTACATTTCTATCCTTAGCCCTGAAGCCTGCTTTATGCTTCCTCTCCCCAACCCCCACCAAATGGCATACAGGATATATGTTTCAGTGCCTCCTGGCTCTTCAAACTTGCCTTCTTCAAAGGCAGTAATCCCCTTCATGGATTGTGCTCAGATATGCAGGACTCAGCACTCTGTAAACTTCTGCTTGATATGGTGTAAAGACAGCTTAACAGGGGGGTAAGGTATTTAACTTTGTTGAGATAAGGAACTTATAAAAATAATGAGTTTTCATCTACTAAATCAGTAGGTAGCCCTTTGCTTTCTCTTAGTACGTATGTCCTAAAGCAATATAGTCAGTTATCTGGTTAGTTTTATAGTCAAAACTGCTTTGATCCTTTGACTGCTCTGTTGCTGTGGAAACTGTTGCATCCCTTACTGTGTTAGCAAAGAAGGTTTTATGGTTTATGAATGAGAAATATGATCATCTTTTTTTTCCCCCTGTTCTTAGCCCCTGGCGAATTGTGGATGACTGTGGTGGGGCCTTTACAATGGGTACCATTGGTGGTGGTATCTTTCAAGCAATCAAAGGTTTTCGAAATTCTCCAGTGGTAAGTGGGTGATGGTCTTATTTTATCATCACCTGATAGGTGGCTTTGGGAATATTACTGGTGGTCCCATCAGTGGGTAGAAGTGCATTATACTTCCAATATATTATATTTTTGGTTGCTTCCTTTTGTTTTGTTATAGGGAGTAAACCACAGACTACGAGGGAGTTTGACAGCTATTAAAACCAGGGCTCCACAGTTGGGAGGTGAGCAGAATTTTTTCTGTTTATTTGAAGATGGAGCTATGTTTTTTCTTTTTAGATGATAACAGTTAGTGATTTTAATTTGGTCTAACAGCTTGTCACAAACTAATATCCCTGTAGGTTCTTCTTGATTTATGGTTTGTTCAGAAAGTTAACTTGAGTTATTGTATTCATTTGAAAATTTTGTCTGTGTCCTTCAGATGCTTAGTGATTTTTTTTTTTTTTTTCCTTCTCCAGAAGGAAGACAATGTGTTTAAAGTTCAGGTTTGTGAGAGTCAGGAATGATAGCTTCTGAGGTAACATAAAGCTGAAGAGAATGTGATCTGAAGGATTGGGGTTTCATGAGAGAGAAACTGATCAACCTGATTGGGCTCTTCTCCAAGGTTAGCTTTTGGACATTGTACA